CTGGTTGTCCAACAGTTCGATAAGTCTTTCCGCCCTCTACCAGGTCCGACGGCCGTCGTGGGGGCAGCAGCGCTGTGGGCTTCACCGGAGTCCCGCTGCTACGTAGCGCCTCCTCCCCCCACTGCGCTATCTACTCCCTGTCTCTTATACACATCTAGATGTGTATAAGAGACAGCTTAGTACCCTGACTGTTTTTTGAAGAAGACTTCGAAGAGAAACTGGTTGTCCGACAGTTCGATAAGTTTTTCCGCCCTCTACCCTGGTCCGACGGCCGTCGTGGGGGCAACAGCGTTGTGGGCTTTACCGGAGTCCCGCTGCTACGTAGCGCCTCCCCCTCCACTGCGCTATGTACTCCCTTGCTTGCATGCACCCGGCGCCCGCCCGCGTCCGGGTCCATTCGCCACTATGCCATCTGCTTTTTCCTCCCTGTCTCCTCCGGTCCCCGTCACCGCCCCAACACTTACTACCCGCCGGCACTATTGCTCCGCCCACTGCTGCCAGGCCAGCCCCATTACAGTCTCTCCCTGCGTGCTCACTCCGCCCAGGCGGAATGCTCCAACCCCTCAGGCCCCCAACAGTCGGGCTCCCCCATAGGTAGGTGGGTTACGGTGTCGGCTGAACACCCCTGTCGCAGGCCCGTAGCACGGCCCCTAGTGCAGCCGGCCCCGCCACAGATCTTAGAGGTAATGACAAATATTCGAGTGAGAACTCTGAGACCCGAACCGGAGGGAAGCCCCGTGGGCATACTCACACTCAAACTTCCTACAACGGATCGTGGTAGGCGGGCGGGGCATATTCACACCCGGAGAGGGTCCCCGCCACTCAGGTTCCTCCCGCCTCGTGGGCTGATCATCTATCGGCTCGAATGCACGTTAATTTCCCCGGCCCATATTCTCATGACATACAAGATAAAAGAACTTTGCCAACACCCTGAACACGCGGGGACTCGTAAGCCAACGAACGGAGGCTCGCTCTCAAATTAAAAGGTACCAACGGAAAAAAATGATCATAAAAACTTTCGGTCGCCAAAGAAAAAAAATAAAGGATACCGCCTGCACTGCTTTGACGCCGCCAAAGGCAAAACCAAGGGGGATAGCCCTACGGCCCTCAACCCCATCGGCTTCCTCCTCGTTGCTCCGCTGCCGCTGCGTCGACGCTCGCCGGCCTTGATTCCTGAACCTTCGTACTGTCAATCCAATGTCGTAACCTATAAGGCTAAACCCAAGTCTGGGATTGAGTCCCGCAGAATACCATATAGGCAGTGGGGGGCGACGCTTTGGGCCAACAAATTGGCTGCTCGACTCCCATTTGCCCGCGCCGGCTTGCTTATACCATGCCATAATTGCCCCGCGCGCCATCCTACGACACCCCGCTTACCGCACGAAGCCGCGCCGTCGTTGCCAACGCCGTTGTCGGGGCCGTTCTCCGCACGTGCGTTCGACTCGGTCAAAAGTACCAATAAAAAAAATATATCCTTAATTCTTGCTTAATCAAAAATAAATAATAAATAATATCACCAAGCAAAACGACCGAGGTCCGGGCCGGCTTTACGATCAATAACAGAAAAGAATCACGCGCGCCTTAAGCCTGTGCGCCCAGGCACTCGCTATTGTGGTCAACCACCCAGTTAACGCAATTACAGACGCTGCCGTGCTTAGCGCGGTATACTTAAACTCTAAGCCAAAACAGAAAATATGCTTAAACTCTAAACCAAAACTGTTTTCTGTTACTTGCAAAAACCAGGGCGGATACCCTTGTAAGGATATTCGCACTGACAGCTTACCGGACCATCTTAAGCGACGTCCCTGTCGCTTCGCCAAATCAGAAAGCTATAAATCCACCCACACTCCAAACACTGAAGGAAAACGAGCCAATCCGATTAGCCGAACAAGACAGGGTAGAGGCTTCCATCAAACCATGTCTCCACAACTATATGCTGCCAGGTTTCTAATCCAGGCCTCTCACCGCCCAGAAATCAGGACACTGACAGCATAAGTGCCAAGGACCTTCCCAATCGTCCTCTCCTTGGTCCTAGACAACCTTCGGCTTCTCGTTGGGTGTCCCTAGTCATGGCAAAAACTAGGGACGCGGACCTTAATCGAGACCTTTGAAGGCACTCTCGCCTTCCTTCTCAAAAAATCTCTCGCAATCAAATACACATAACCATATATGTATACTTAATATCCGCTCAGCCCTTTCTGCAGTCTAGTACAGAAAGGCTAGGTCTCCACCTTGGCCCATGATAGCGTGGCTGATCGGTCCAGGAGTACGGCCCACCACATTGTTATTTAACGGTAGTACCCGTCGTTGGTTACGCAACGATAAGTTTTCTCCTGATAAGCATCTAATCTGGATTCCTCTAAAAATTCTCAATCATCACTATCCCGCGGAGTAATTTCACTGGTGCGGGCAACCCCCCTTGAACTTTTACCCACGCGGTCCCGCAGCCAGGTTGCGCCGGCTAGCAGCCATCCAATGGGGTTATGCTCTAAAGGTACTAACTTCTTTTCCGTTAGCTTGGCCTTTCTTCAATATGTCTCAGAATTAGCACCGGTGGTTAGACGGGGGTGTCGCAAAACAAAATCACTGGCCCACTGCGCGATACGCAGGGGTCCGAAGGCATTTACCAGCCCTCCCTCAATAGGCATGACATCCTTCGCACGCTTACAAACAAAATCACCGTTAAATCCACCAGGCCGTGACCCCTGACTTGATCAGAGTCAGCAGCCACCCACCCCGAGACATCTCTCGCCCTGCACTCATTGCGACTTTCTCAAACATTCCAAAAAAATGGCCCTTTTCGTCAGACTTTATCACTCATCAGACAACTTACCATGTCATAAATCAGTTTACTCACATTTGAAGGTGAGTATCCCAACAACAAAAACATCCCCTTTTTCAAAAATCCAAGGGGCTCTCATCATAAACAAAACACCCCCTCTTCCAAAAATCACGAGGGGTCTCGCCACAGAACAAAACATCCCCTCTACCAGGAATCACGAGGAGTCTCACCATAAAATCAAACTTTCCCTTCTCAAAACTCGAGGGGGTCTCATCATAACACACAACATCACAAAACATCCCCTTTTCCAAAATCCAGGGGACTTATCATAAACAAAATCACTGAGAGACCATCTTATGGGTCCTCATCACAACTTAAGCAGCCAACAATCTACATGGTAAGCATTTTGAGCCTCCAGGACTCATAAACCTTCAAAATCCTCACAACCTTTCACAGACGGGCTGCGCTTCCTCCCCTTATACTCTGCCCTATCAACTGCCCGTGGGCAGGTCGCACAAGTATACGGAGGAGTAGATAGTTTTGCTTACAATCATATTCACAGTACCCATGACAAAATAAGATGTTTTTCACACACTGTCCACACAAACCCCCATACATCAGAGTACAACCACACATGTGAGAGAGACAAGTGATGGTCACATATAAGAATGGTCCCTGAAATAAAACCTCATTATAATATACACTCAGGGAATAAAATGTCTCACCCAGAAAGTGTCTCCAAATCATAGCTCACTCAACTCAAGCCACACCAAACCCATACTGACAACAACCCCTAGAAGACATGTCAGATCTGTGTCTCAAAGCCAGTGCGTAGGCCACCTAAATATGTACATGCCTCATCTAAATCACCCTGATCCTCAAGACTCCAGCTCAGTAGGAACACTAGAGTTCAGATCTAGACTAATAGCAATCAACAAAAAAGTCCTCTAAGTCTAAGAGGGTATCACACAGAACCTAAGCTAATGCCTCACAAGATACTCGCCTATTGACATAGACAAACCGACCCTACCTCCTCAACTCCTCCTGGTTTTGCCTATATATAACCGAGCCCTAAGTCCATCTACGGACTTCTCTACTACCCTACCCTGTCTATCATACATCTTACCCCCTGCTTCTGAGACCTTCCCTTCTGCCTTATCCTCAAGGAAATCGAGACAGTCCAGAGCCAGATGCACGCCCCTCTTGCAGTAGAAGCATAGCTGATCAATCTTCCTCTTGAACTTCTTCTTCCTGGGCTAAGGAGGTGGCAATGAAGGAGATCCCACCAAGGTACTGACAACCCCCTGCTGCTCTATCCCAGGAACTGGTCCCCCAGACCCAGATCCAGTAGCCCAAGATCCCAGTCTGCTCCTCAAACCCCCTGCCACTAGGACGTACTCAGGCGTGTCCAACCTCTGAGGTCTCCTCTCGAGTGTCTCTCCTGGCACTGTCATGGGCTGCTCCTCAATCTCCTCCGGCCCATACTCAGGCGTGCCCATCCTCTGGAGCCCGCCCTCGATGGCACCCTCTGCCTCAATCCCTATCTCTCTCTCAAGAGGCTCTTCTATCCTCTGCTCGGGTGAAAACAAACTCACCTCCTCCTGCATAGTATGCACCACCTCAAGGAGCACGTCCATGGATCCCTCTGCTGAGCCCTGAGCCGGCTTACTGCTAGATGGTGGTAGCCCCTCCTCAACTGCCAAATGTACGACTGGGCCCGCCGCTGCTACTGGCAGCGTCGCGAGCTCGGTAGGGGCTCTGAACTCGAACGCCTCTCTCCGCCTATCTCTGGGCTCTCGCCTCCTCTGGCTCCAGGATAACTCTCCCCATAGGTGGCTCCTGGCGAGGCTCTGCTGCAGATGGCTGTCCTGGCAACCCATGTCCTGGCTGCCTCTGCTCTCCTTGCCTGCTGCTCTCTGGCTTGTCCACCTTTCCCTGGGTTTGCTGCCTAAGGCTCTCGATGATAGCTGCCTGACTGGCCACCAATGCCCTGAGTTCTTGGATTTCCACCTCCATAGCCTCTAGGCATACCCCATCGCCTGCTTCCTTTATCTTTTTTCCTGCCAGATCACTCTCCAATAGCAATTGTCGGTCAAAAGTTGCCTTGGCCAGCAACTTGATCTTGCGATCTAACCTCTCTTCTGCCTTCCTGGCCACCCCATACCCGGCCCTGACTGGCGAGGGAAGCTCCTCTCCTCTCTGCTCCCAGAAGTCCCTCTACATCTTTGGGATCTCCGGGGCCCTAGCTGGCGCGCTGGGTGGCTGACTTGGGAGTGCTCCCGCTGCCTCCGACCTCTGCCTCTCCTGCTGCTGCTCCGGAAGCTCCCCCGCTGCCTCCAACCTCTGCCTCTCTCGCCCTCTTTTCTTCAACCGTCTTTCCAGCTGGCGCCCTTTCCCTCGTGCGGAGGTCGACCCTCTTTGGGATCTCTGCTTCCATCTCCTTCTTGGGCTGACACGGCTCCTGGCGCGGCTCTGCAGGTGCTGGCTCCTCCAGGTCTGGGTGCTCCAGGGCATAAGCTGCTAGATGTCTGTCAATCAGGGTCAACGCCTCTTTCCTTACAGCTGCCCTCTCTCTCCTCCTTTCTGCTCTCCCTTCTGGCGAAGGGGCCTTTTCTGATGAACGCAATGGGGCCTCCTCTCTCTGCAACCTCTCCCCTGCCTGGCGAGTGCTCCCTGGTGCATCCCCGAGTCTCAAACCCAGCACTGGCGTCTGTGGGGGCGTGTCCTCTCCAACCTCTATCACTTCCTTCCCTGCACGTCTCCCCTCATCGCCCAACCCTCTCTCTCGCTGAGTATCCTGAACCTCCTCCCGTGGCACCTCCTCTCGTGGTACCTCCTCCTGTGGCACCTCCTCTCGTGACACCTCCTCTCGTGGCACCTCCTCTGCCTGCTCTCCATGCTCCTTGCCCCGAGGCGACGCCCTCCACCGAGAAATATTTAAATGCGTCTCCAATTCCCTCAAGGGCCCCTCAGATGCTGGCGGCTCCTCCTGTGTGCGGGCTGGCGACCTCCTCAATCCACCCTCGGTAAACCGATGGAACTCCACTGGTCCCAACCCACACTCAGGGTATGCCCGTCGCTCCTTTGCCTCTGGCTCCGGCTCTGGTTCCTCTTCGCTTCTGGCTAAGGCCTTCCGTCCTCCTCGAGATGGTCTCGCCTCCCTGGGCTCAGGGTCCCTCTGCCTCTGACTCCTCTGACGCCTCTCTATTCTGGGCTGAGGGGGCTCTGGTCGTCGAAAGGCCTCTCTCAGGTGCGCTCTGCAACTCTCCCAGTCCCGGGGCATGTCTCTGACCTGCTTGGCCAGTGCCCTCTCCGCCTTTCTGGTCCAGAGGGGTAACGTCCTCGCCCACTCATCTCTCGGTATACCCTGCCCCTGAATGAACCACTCAAAGGCAGGAATAAAATCCGCCGCGTTTCCGATCTCTAGGCGGATCGGCCTGCCATCTGGTCCCACAGGCGAAGGTCGCAGCTCCTGCATCCTCGTCTCCACCTCCTGCCTCGTCGTCGCCTCCCTACGAATCCTGGTAATAGGTTCCTCGAACCTGCCTGCTCCCCTCAGCCTCTCAATCGCCTGGGCTACGGTCCAGCCCATCCGCCTCGCATGATCCTAAAAGCTGTCCAGGAATAGCTCGATGTCCCCATCATCGTACACCAGAGTACTCTCTCGATGGCAAGGCCCATGCCGCTCATATCCTCTTGATGCTCCCAACGGCCTCTGAGGCGGCCGTGTCCCCTTCCCTCCTCTTGGCATGGTTGTCTTCGTAAAGTCATACCTGCACAACATGCGAAGAAGACAACAGGCACACATTGGGGTAAGCAAACAGGTGATAGTCAAAGCAAGCTCAGACCAGACCACACTCATACAACATGCATCCTACCTAACCTACACACCCTGCTACTTTTATTCTAAAGCCAGTCAGGTCATCTCTCTTACCTCTTCTCTCGCCACAAATTTCTTCAATCGCGTTCCAGATACCCAATCCTTCCACTCAGTCCCATTTAACTCCTCAATCTGGTACGCTTCAAAGTCTCCGACCCGTGCGATTCGGTAAGGACATAACCACCTCTTATCGAGTTTCCTGGACCACTACTTTTCCAGCGATGAATCGTAGAGAAGCACGACATCCCCAACTGCCAAGGGTACTTTCCTCACCTGCGCAGACTGATCCCATTGAGCCTTATCATCCATACGGCTTCTCGCCACCTGGTCAGACGCCTCCTGGATCCTTTCTTCTATCGCCCCTATCTGCCGCGCCCGGATATCGAGCAACTCTTCAAATGACAGGTTAACTTCCAGATCCTGGCGCCTCCATATCTTAAGAAAGCTTTCGATAGGGAAGGTGGCGTGCCTTCCGTATCACAGCGTCGCAGGTGCGTACTTAGTGGATCTTTTTACTGTAATGTTATCGACAAAAAACACCGCCCTTGGGTACCTTGGCCATTGATTAGGCCTACCTTCGGTCCACTTAGCTAGAAGACTCGTAATGGTACTATGTCCTCTCTTTACGGGAGCATTTGCCTGGGGGTGCGCGGCCGTGGTGTAGTTGGCTGCTACACCGTACCTTGATAACAGTTCTTGCACCTCCTGGCAGGTAAACTCCGATCCCCTGTCCATTATGAATTTCCTTGACGAAAGGATAGCGTAGGTAATACTCCTCGATGCAGCTCACCAGGACTGACTCGGTCTTTGTGCGAATAGCGCGCCCGTCTACGAAGCCGGACAGGTTATCGCACGCATCGAAGATGTAGTTATAGCCCTGATCCCCAAGCGGCATAAAAAGTAGATCGAGATGCACTACAACCCCTACCTCTCGCTCTAGCCTTGGATGCAGCGGCTCTCCTTGTCTTAAACGGGACCTTTCCTGGCAAGGTACGCACGATCGACAGAACTTCCCGACCATATCCATCATCTCATCCCAGTAGTACAACTCACTTATTTTGGCATACGTGGCTTGTACCCCTCGATGCCCTCCTACAATGCCATCGTGAAGCGCTGCTACGACGTCGACCTGATGATTCCTACCGCAGACGACCCTCCTGGGATTCCCCACTTCTCTTCTCACGAAAAGGTGGCCGTCTCGCACTAAGTAGCGCTGCAGCATCCTCTGAGCTCTATCGCTCGCATCCCTTAGCTGCATTTCGCAAGACAGAAGAAACCCTTGCTCTATGTAGATCCCTTCGTACTCCTCTGCACGAAAAACCTCCTTAATCTCCCCCTCCTCGAACTCGTCGTCCTGGCTCTCGGGCACTTCGTCCACATTTCCTGCCGGGTTCAACGAGCCTGACTGGTCGAGACTTTCCTGCAATAACGTGTTGACGAGGAGATACATTTCTCTCATCAGGTCCTCATGCCGTTCTACCTGGCCAGGTCCTTCCTCAATCGTCCTCATATCCTCCACCAGGCTATGCGAGTTGGCCAATGCTGACTCCATCATCCACCGAACATCCTTACCAACCCAAGGATCCTCTTCGTCAAAGGGTTCGAGGACTAGCTCGACCCTCCTTTCATACCCATTCGGTGCTTGCCAGATAGGATAGCCTATACAGCTGGGCACTCGCGGCGACCACTTGTTGATGTGGAGACGAACATCTTCTTCCTGATTCAGAAATCCATCAACTGGGGGCGTATTCTCCACCGCCTCCCCTCCCTATTTATCCCAGTTGATCCGACTCAGCCCGTCCGCCCGGTTCTTACTACCAGGAATCCGTTCCAATTCGAAATTGAACATCCAGATGTACGTCAGCCATCTGGCAACCGTCGGATCCGATGGAACGTAATTCCTTAGAGAGTAGGCAAGGGAAGTCGGATCCACTCTAAAAAAAAATCTCCTGCCGAAGATGTAGTTCCGGAAGATTCGCAGACAGTGGAGGACGGCAATGGTCTCCCTCTTGAACTGAGAGTAGTTTCTCTCTGTCGTACAAAGAGTCCGACTCTCAAATCTCAAGGGCCTTTCCTTTCCTTCTATGTCTGCCTGGATTAGAACGCCTCCTAAGGTAGTTGGCCCCGCATCTGTTTCGACAATGAAGGGTCGTGTTTCCGTGACATCATAATCTGACGCTCCTAACACCAACCCTCCTTCTCGAAATTCCTCCTTCATTTTGGTCACCACCTCTTCCTGCTCTTCACCCCAAACCCATTCCTGATCCTGACGGACTAACTTCCTCAGGTGTTCAGTCTTAGCGGCAAAATTCTTGACGAAGGCCCTCCAAAATCCACATGTACCAAGGAAGCTCCTGACATCAGTTATTGAGTGGAACGAAACTGACCACTCAGTAATCTTTTCCGTCTTCTTCACATCCGGCCTCCGGCCCTTCTCGCTACAGACGAACCCCAAAATAGTCGCTTCCCTCATGCAGTGCCTGGACTTGGCCCTGCTCGCCGTGAGGTTATGCTCCTCGGGCAGGCTCAGGACTTTTTCGAGGTCCTGGATATGCTTCCAGACAAAGCGCCTCACCCCTGGCAAAACTTCGTCGCTCTCTTTCACCGCGACCCCTTCACTGCCAAATCGTCGATGTATGGCTGTGTGATATGGGGGCTGACTGATTGCATAGCCCGAATCATGGTCCGTTGGACCATTGCCACCGCATTGGTCCACCATTGTGGGGCCACGTTCATGTGGATTAATCCTCGCGGCGTGTGCATAGCCGTCATCGGCCTGTCCGGCGGATAGACCGGGAACTGATCATATCCTGAGTAAAGGTCTATAAGTGAAATTATAGGCCTTCCAGCACAAGACTCTGACAGCGCGTCCGCATTGGGCAATCCTCCAGCATCCCGCACGGTCACCGCATTCAGCCTCTGCAAATCTTGCACCCACCGCAGCGTCTCGTTAGGCTTGATGAAGCAGAACCATGGAGACGCATACGGTCCACTCGAATAGTCGGCGACGTGCGTACGTATCTTGTCGTCGAGGTAATCCACCACCTTCTTTTCTTCGTCAGGATTAGGATCGCGCCCCTTTCATGTTCCAAGGTTCGTGTGGCACAGTGTGGATATGGATCATAGGTATCTTGTCCACGTCCACCCTGCCGCGCTCCTCGTCACTAAACGCATAGGCGCGATGCCTCCTCTTTATCAACTCCACCATCAATGTCCACTCCTGTGGCAGCAGGAAGTCGGGCTCCCCTATGATCAATTTCCCCTCGTTCCCTTCGTTGATACGACATGGCCCTCCTAAAGCACTTTCCCTCATCCGCCGTATCAACCCTCGTTCCCTCTCGTAGTATGCTTCCTCATCTTCTGTAATGAGGACGGGAACCGGGCGACACTTCTTGTCTACCGTCTTGTACCGCCTTTGGGAACCTTGCTTGAGCCGCCCCCTAAAAAAGGCCGACTCACAGATTGCGTCTGCGCTGATACGGGGCTCTTCCCGCTGCCCGGAAGCCGATATACCAGCTCCAACCTTCCTGCCTCGGGGCATTCCAGAACTTGCTCTCTCAGAGCCTGGATGGCATCTGGATCTGCCATCTCATGCGTGACCACCAAGTCCATGGCCTTCCCAACATCTGACAGACTGAGGGAAAATGCCTCCACCCTCTCTCCTGCTTCGGGCTCTGCCCAGAGCTTCCGGCGCTCACCTTCCGACTCTTCAATCATGAATGATCCCGGATTGGGCCAGTTCCTTATACTCCTAGGCCCTATGTTCGTGCAGGTAATTATTTAATAATTCCCGCAGGCAGGATCGCATAAGAGGAGGATTAACGTCCCGTCATGCTTATTGAATATCACGGTCTCCGTCCTGCTTAGGAATGATCTCCCAGGAGGATTCCGTGATCCACGTCCGGCATGATGAAGAAGCAAGCTCGGGCTTTTACCTTTCCAACCTCGATAAGTACATTCGAGGCTCTCCCACAAAATACGGCCTTGCAACTGGCTCTGTGCAGAATACCGTTGTCAGAACGGTCTATATCCAGCCCGAATCTGATCGCGTCTACCTCCCGAATAATGTTCATCTCCGCCCCGGTGTCCACCATTGCTGCGCACTTGGAACCCTTCACCACCAAATCCACCGTGCCGCAGGCTACGCACTTCCAATCCATTTTCGTACCCGACTCCGCCCACTCAGCCTCCTTGGGCAGGATCGTACCCAGATGGACATTTGGCACCAGGCACCGCGACAATGTCCTCTTTCAGTTCATCGCAGAGTCGCGGGGCCGACGCTAGGATTTCCTTCAGAGTCATGAGGTGATTGTGCCCTTCTAGCAGACGGTCGATCACTTTCTCCACGCAAACCCCTCCTGCAACCGAACCGCATACTTTTTCCTTTTGGGCGGTCCGTTGCGTTCGACCGGCTCGACCTCTCCCCTGGCTCCCTTTTTCCTTGCTCGTTGCTCCGCTCTCTGATCCTCCTTCCTACGCAGCCTCTTGTCCTCTTCCTCCTCATTGTCGTCATCCTCCACTTCCACAGCCTCCTTTCTTTTTCTGGTTCCGGCTCCCTCCTTGGAGGTTCTTGGCTGGCGCTGGCTTTGGCCTGAATTCTCGTTCGTGCTGCCTGTGCCAGCCGGGCCTGCGGGGTGAGGGGTCTCCCCATCATCCCCAATTGCGGGCACGACTCCACCACATTTACTCTGGGTCGCCCAGGCGCTGACTCCGGACTAGAGTCATAGAGGAACACCTTGGGGATATTAGACTTCCATTTCCTCACTTCCTCACAGAGGCCCACCAACTTCTGTTGGTACCTCCCCATCTTATCCAGCAGGTCCTCCATTTTTTCCAACAAGATGGACGAAGGTTCCATCCTTTCTTCCTCATTCTCGTCTTCTGACTCAATGATTATGGGTTCTTCCTTCTTACTTCCTCCTCGTAGCCCTTGAGTCTCTTCCTCATCGCTCCCCACTTCCTCTACCCCAACCGGTGGTTCATCCTTTTCCTGCCATACCCTGAATTCCTCTATCCCCACCGACGGCCCTTCCTTCTCCTGCCATAGCCCGAACATGGCAGGAGGTGGCGGCCCAGCTGCCGCCCTTCGTTGGGCTTCCGCCCTCACTCCTCCAAGCCTTCTGTCAATGACCTCCCCAAACTGATCGTAGATGTTCCCATCCATAGTGGAGGAAATCAGCCCGCTCCTCTCGTCTTCCCGTCTTATATTACAGAACCTTATAGTGTGGCCTTGTTGGTCACAATGTTGGCAGATGGCCGTCCTCCAGTCAAAACGGGGTCTTCCATACCCCTGACTTCCTTGATCCCCCAGGCCTTGATACCCCGGGCCTTGGTACCCTTGGCCTTGGTACCCCTGACCTTGATTCCCTTGGCCTTGGTACCCTTGGCCTTGGTACCCCTGGCCTTGATTCCCTTGGTCTTGGTACCCCTGGCCTTGACCATTCCATTGCCTTCCTCTTCCGCCGCCATTCCTGCCTCGCCCCCTTCCTCCACCCCTCCTTCCGTTGCCTTGATTGCCATGCCCCTGGTTCCCACCTCCAGCCACGCTTCCCTGTGAACTGGGGGCGGGTGACGGTGGCGGGGCCACAGGCTGGGCCTGGGCTGCGGGGTAGATGGGTGGCGGCATACTCGTTTGCAGTCCGGCTACTGGTGGTGGGCTACCCCATGGTACGATTGCATTGATCACCGGCCAGGGCCATTGTGCGTAGGACGGCGCCCATCCTTGCGAGGGGTCCGTACTAGATGACGGAGCCACTACATTTGAAGGGGTTGCTGTCAAAGCCTGGGGCTCCTGCGCTTTATCTTAATCCCTGACCGCCCTGCGCCAAGTTACGCACTTTGCGTTGGGCCTTTGTCAGGAGCTTCGGCACCGGCTCTTCCTCTTCCCAGAGTTCTTCTTGAACAGCCTCCTCTATCACCGGCTCCTTTCCTTTCACTCGGACAGCCGTTACTACCCTCCTTTGCACCACCGACTCTGTCGCATACCCCAGCTGTGCCAATACGTATGTAACAATCCTTGTTACCCCCGGGGTCCCAGAAGCGGTCGCATCTCTTTCCTTTCTCTTCTGCTTTTGCAGGCGTACCTGACGTTGCTCCACCTGGTCCAAACACCCAACTTCCACCCCTCTGTCAATGGTGGCCCAGGTGAGCTTGGTGCTACCTCCTCCATGCCTCGTCAACTCGACGGCCTCCGATGCCGTGAGTAGCCCCAAGAAGATGGCGCACTGTGCTTCCTCCGAAATCCCATGGACCTTCCGCGCCCTCTTCTTAAATTCTTGAACAAAGGCCCATATCGTCGTAAAATCTTCTTTGTTCATTGCCTCAAGGTCCGCGGTAGTCAATAGCCCATCTCCCAGGCGGTATTTCCTCTGCATCCCCTTCTTAAACCTCTCCCAGCTACCTTCGACCGCATCTATGACTTTCTTCACTTCCTGGTGGTACCTGTGGAGGACATACTGAAGAATGCGTTGAAATTTTACCACGTCCGACCGCCCGACCAAAGCTTGTTCCACCCGTTCCAGCCATTCCGAGACTCTTTCCCCACAACAATGGAAGGTATCGACTTTAGGGATATTGCTCGGGTTCCTTTCATGCCCGTTAATGGCCGCAATGAGGTCATCGAGCGTCAGGCCCTTCTTGGGACCATTCGATGAGCCGCCGCCCTGCGACATCTTAATAGACCTTTCTCTTCAAGCTCCCTAATAAGAGAAAAACAAGCACATCCCTTTATTCAGCATTACACCTTGACCGGTATATTCCATCCGTCCTACCTAACCCTTAGTACCTACTTTTACCCAATGCTACGCGTTCATCCTTCATACCTTCCCTTACTCTGGTAGGTAAATTTCCTCGCCTATACTTAGTCATTCATTATCTCTCCTCACTTTTTCGTCATTCCTTTATGCCTTTTCTCATTCACTTCTCATACCCGGATGTCGTTCCACCAGGGACAACGTTAGGCTTTCCGTTATCCCCGACAACGGAGCGCATCAGTCCGGCACCGCACCATGGCAGCGCGGGACCCTCCCGGTCGCGTCACGCAGGAGTCGGTTTAAATCCTTCGTCGCAAATAATACATGTGGAGCTTCCTTAATCCGCTCCGGCCGAGTGCGCTAGTCATACCTCTCGCGAGCCCCTACGACAGGATAGGGCATACGCGAGGCACGACTTACCTACACCTTACGGGAGTTGTCACCTCCCTTCGGTGGGTGTATCCCCGCCGAGCTACCAGTCCACAGTACGAAAGCTAATCAGTTGCAATTGCAGAGGTGGACCAGCTGAGGGCGTTTCTCGTTCGCTGTATCATAAGGGGTACGCGCGGTAATACCCCTCTACCGAAGCTTGTTCCACCCATTCCAGTACCTTTGTTAAATGACCATTCAATAAAAGTCCGGGTGAAACCTTAATAAAACAACGAAATCAACAGGGCTAAAGCCTTTTAGGTTGAGTGTGGAGGGAGAGTTGAAATTGAGTCCTAGACCGACGAATCGGCAACCGACCTGTTATTAGTGATAACAGAAAGTGATCCTCAAGGGATCAAGCTGGATCTAGTCTGAACTTGGATCAAATGATAAAAAAAAACCTGTAACACACGGCAGACCAATGCCGAAGCTAAGATCATAAGTGTATGGAGAATACAACTCCATAATACATCCTCACTCAAAATTTTCCTATAAGTTGAACTTAAATCTATTTTTAAACCAGTGCTTAAGCTAAAGGTAGACCTACTACGGAATTTCCTCTATTCTGGGCGGGTCGCCTGAATCGCCACCTGTCAAAATATAATCTATCTCCTCTGAACTAAAAAAATTTCGGCAGTGCTTCCCGTAGGAAAAGTGTCTTTCTAGAATTTATACAAGCACAGATATGAGAGCAGAAATAATCTCCAACTTCTAGAAAGCCAAATTTTGTCTAACTCTGTGAATTAGTAGAAATTTGAGCAACACTCCCTTTAGAAAGGGAGACTTCCCAGATTTATACTAAGTCAAATATAAAAGCAGAAATAATTTGTAACTCTAGAGAGTCAAATTCTGTCTAACTCCCTGAAATAGTAGAAATTTGGGCAGCACTCCCTTTAGAAAGGGAGACTTCCATGATTTATACTGAGTCAGATATGAACTCGAACAACAGCTCGAGCTCAACTTTAGACTAAATTTAACTAACTCCTTAATTTTGTAGAAATTTTGGCAACACTTCCTCTAGAAAAGTGTTATTCCAAAATTTATACAAGACTAAGTTCTGATTTTGAAAGTACATTTGGCTTCCCAAAGTTCAATTTTGTCTAACTCCCTGAATTAACAAAAATTTGGGTGACACTTCCTTTAGAAAAAGAGACTTCCCAGATTTTAACTAAGTCAGATATGAGAAAGACAAAGTTGAACTTTTGACAAGTCAAAGTTCAACCAACTCCTTAGATTTGTAGAAATTTCGGCAGCGCTTCCCGTAGAGAAAGTAGCTTGCCAAGATTTATACAAAACCAAGTATAAGAAAAGATCTCAGAAAATGCAAAAATTAACCTAAGTAAAAAAAGTTATTACAGAAAATGCAGGAATTGACACTAACTCATACGGCTCTAGCACGTGGCGAGCAACTAAAGCGACGACCTATAAAACTGAAGCCCAAACAAACTAGTCCTCCCATCCAGTTACATGCAAACCAAACCACTAATGTAAGTACTTTCACCATCCCAAGTTCATTCTTTATAAATAGTTCGTGAATCTTCAAGTTCTTGGATCCTTATACCCATCTTACATAAGACATAGAGCTGGACCATTCGCCATGAAAACAATGTCCAGCTTGTCTTTATGATATACACGAACAGGTTGCACAACTACTTCTTCCTTCTTTAAGGCAGATGACTAGGCCATTCGCCATGGAAACAATGTAAGTCGCCGTAAGCTGTTTAATATCCAAAGTTTAATATTTCTCTGACTTTGTTTTAAAAAATAAAAGACAAATATGGGCAGGGGACTGAACCATTCACAGTAGAAACAATGTTCAGCTTGCCCAAACTATTTTTATTTATACTCTGTATTTTCTCTTTTCTCTTTTTAATGATATGGCTTAACACTGGACCATTCACAGTAGAAACAATGCCCAGCTGCCAGTTCACATGAAAATATACATAAAGTACTTTCCTTAATGCTCAGTTTAATTTATGTGCGTGGTTTTCAGGCTAAATCATTCACCATGGAAACAATGCTTAGCCTTAGACAAAAAATCCTCCCTCAGAATAAACAAGAATTTAAACCCCTTCAATCAGGCAAACCCTCAGAGTTAACTTGAGTAAACAGGCCATTCACAGTAGAAACAATGCCTGGCCCTCCAGAAAACAACTAAACAAACATAGCAACCAGGCCATTCACAGTAGAAACAATGCCTGGTCCTTCAGAAAACAGCCAAATAAACATAGCTCTAAGCCATTCACATTAGAAACAATGCTCAGGCTTTGGTTGACCCTTCCAAACGCATGCAAAACTGCCTTCCTCCCACTTTCCCCTAGTTCATCCTTAGTCTGCTTTCAGTCAAAACAAAAGATGAAACTTAAGCTTCACTCTCATACATTGTTTCCATTCAGTCTGATTAGGTCCTGAAGAGAAAGCAAAAAAATATAGAGATAACACATGCATACCGCAATCATACTACAGGGAGATAGGCAAACATTGGCAGTAGTAGGTTGTACAGATGGAGATGGTATACCTGATGATTCCCTGCCTCCAAAACTCCTCCTGAGTTCCGGCAGAGCTCCCTCAGTCGGTGGGTGGACTCCCCACAGAGTCTTGGCGCGGACCTACGGGTTGCAATCCCGCCTGCCGCCTTTCTCTCAGAATCGCTGGACTAGACTTAGAGTGAGAAGGGCAGATGGAGAAGTATTGAGTCTCTCAGATCCAAGAAGGGTGCTCTCAGTCTCGCAAGAGAGGGCCTTGAAATCTGGATTCGCCTGAGGGCCCCGCAATGGTAGCCAATATGCAGCGACGTGGTCCACTTCGAGTCAGCCGCTGGAGTCGCACATCTGACGACTCCCCAATCTGCAGCAATAATCTCCTTTTTCCAATCCCCCCTGCCCCGCAGTCTGTAACAAACGGCCACTATGCAGGAACACGCAGCACTAAATGGCAGGCAGCAACGGTATCCGACGACGGTCAACAACAGTAGTCACAGTCGCCCGTAACAGCAGTCCACAACAACAACAGTACGTCGCGGTGGACAGCAGCAACATTAGCGGTCCGTGCCCAATCCGCGGCAGCTAATGGTAATAACGATAACTACGACGGTACGCAGCAGCCACTCAAGAGTAGACCCCCAGGAACTGATAAGCCGCCACCTATCGTTCGGACACAGCTTTCGCAGCCTTGTCTTTCAGCCGCTACTCATTCTCACACGCCGCAGATGTAGCCCACAGTTATCGTGGGGCCTGCTCGTGCCAAGCTTGCAGACTGCCGGTAGCCCAGACACGCCCGTCTCCAGTTCATCCCTTGCCAGTCCCCCAAGTTAAACACTTCTCCTTTCCCACTCAAATGTGCACTCTACAGTAGGTCGTCGGGCCAGACCCTCACGACGAGCCCTGTCAAGGGGGCGCTCTCAGCGACCCGAAAGGGGATGCACACGGCCGTCTCCACGATCTCAGCGTCGGAACACACGGCGACAGGGGCCTTACTGCTGGTTCCTCTGCCTACGACCCGACAGTGAACCTCCCGATGGAGTACAACCTGACTATGTCAGGCTAAGCAAACGCACCCGCCAGGCCAACCACGATGAGAACCCGGGACCCAGTTGCTTCCTCCGTCGCCCGCTACTGTACCAGACCGATGGTGAGTCCTTCGCCCCAAAATACGGCCAGATACACCCCCCCCCCTCTTTGTTCGTAGCGATTGCGTAGCTCACATAGCTGCAAGGTAAGCACACTATGCCTCTTTTTCCCCTTTTCCCTGCTATCTCCCGTTCGTACCTTCGAATGCACCTGGCTCAAGGCCCCGACCAGCTTTGTTCAGTCCACTAGGCTCTTCTCCCTTGCGTGTGCCCGAGCTATCTTCGTACTGCGCAGCCCATACATCACATAGGATGAAGGCTATAACTCTGAAGCGGGGTCGGACCTCGCTGTCTCATCTCGCGAGGCACAAGAACCTCATAGGCAGATCGCGGTTCGTCTGTTTTCACTAGGAATTGGTAGTCATGTAACCCCGCGGTTGTCCCTCCGTTATTGCTTCTAGTAAAAAAAGCAAACCCAAATGAATCTATCCCCTGAATCCGACTAAATACGTTGGCACACTACTGACTCGTTTTCTCTAGGCGCAGCCTATGAAACATACAGCGTCGAAACCGCGTTCTCATCGCAGAAATCGACCGCGCCATTGAACTTGCGGTACTCGAGAACCCCTACTTAGCATTCTGATTCGCTCGATCTCATCAATTCTCGATCGAAATCTTGAACTTTCACCCTTGCCATCTTCGCCATACCCGACACCTCTGCGCACCACATTCTGCTTCTAGCATCCTTCTGACTACTCTACGCCCAAAACTAGTCTTATGTTCGTGTTCGCCCGGGGTTAAAACCCCGATCTGGCATTTCTCCCCGCTCGATTTCGTCCGGGAACGTGCGAGGTAAGTTTTCTCTGCCCCCCTTCTCCTTCACCTCCCCGCCATCTCCACGCAACTCTTTTCTCACTAACCTCCCAATCCACTAAACTAACACTAAATCCAATGCTACCATCTCATTCATCGGGGTTAAAAACCCCGAAATCACATCTTTGCTCTCTCGATTCCGCTC